GGGGGGGAAATCAATATATTATAAAGTTGAAAAATAAAATGAACTAAAAATAACCATGATCGCCGATTAAAAACTAGTCGTCAAATTGGGTTAAATTTGTGTAAAGTGCCAATTAAAGGGAAAAGTGCAAAAGAAAGGAAACTTTTTTTCATCATTATGAAACGATAATCGTCATTGGGGACGATAAGAGAATGGGGAAAAATCCCTATTAGTCATTTTTATTTGGACACAATGTCTGATGACGTCATAAAGCGAATATTAATTTGTGCAAAAGGCGTTCTATTTGTAGGCTAGCTCCGAGGCTCAAGGAGACAATCAAGGAGAATTTTGCTATTTTTAAAATGTCAATTCACAGTCCCTGAACTGGGGGTGAATTCTTTTAACTCCTTTAAGACACACATCCTTGTCAAAGTCTTTAACTCTTTAAAGACACACATTCTGGTCAAAGTTTTTAACTCGTTAAAAACACGCATTCTGGCTGATCAACAACGCTTGAAGAGGGTGGTGTCGGTGGTCTTATGGTTAGGCTACCGGGCCAGTAATCATGAGTAATGCGGATTCAAGGGTTCGAGCCTCAGGTCGGTCCGACGTTGTGTCCTTGGAAAAAGCACTTTGATTATTAAACGATTTAATTTTCCCATTTGGCTTGGTCCTTTCGGAGATGGACGTTAAACTCGGAGGTCTCGCCTCTAAAATGGTCGCTTCTAAACACGAGGGGACTATCCAGAAAAATGCTGTTTGGAGAAAATCGAAGGTAAAGTTTTTGGACCCTTGTTAAGTTTCTTTAAAATACTAGGAGAGTTTTCTCTATAACCAAACAAATAAATACACCAATCAAACCAACTTCTCCTGTAGGTGGTAGTGCAATGCCCACTTATGGTGTGGGTCAAGATTTCTGGAAATCCCCGAAATCTGGGTTAGTCCGCTTGTCCTTAGAAGCGACCAAATATCCCAATGTATTGATATTGGCGTTAAACCTACACTGTGCCGTGCCATACCAGCTTGAAGAGGCTCTATTTCGTGCCATTTTCCTAAAAGAAGCATACTAACTTCCTTATTCCTACAGATTTTTTTTCACTTCAGTTGCCTTTATCTTAAACTTGAAAAGGAAAACTACTACACTCTTACTAATCTATGAAAAATGCTGCAATAAATTCCTGTTTCTCCTTCCTGTATTAGGCTTATAGTTGGCGAAACATACCGCCCCATTTTCTTTGGTCTGTTGCCAGACATAATTCTTCTTCTTCTTCTTCTTCTTCTTCTTCTTCTTCTTCTTCTTCTTCTTCTTTTTCTTCTTCCATTTCTTCTTCTTCTTCTTTTTCTTCTTCTTCTTGTGTCCGCCACATCAGAATAGAGTTATAATCTCCAAGGCATCAAAAAGAAGAACGTATCGTTTTTTAAATTCGTTTACACCAACGTTTCTTTCCTTAGAAAAGAACAGCAACTTACATACTACATTTAACTTTCAAAACCAAATATCTCTATGTATTTTAAATAATCTATGTCAAAAGAATATGTCAACTCATGAATATTATTTAAAGGTTCAGAAACGATGGATGGCACTTTTGAATCTGATACAGAGGGGCTGCAAAAATCTAGAGTTTTGTATCCTGCTGGTGAATGAATTTATACACCGAAAAGAAAGGAAAAAGAAAGCTTTGCAACCATTTCAAGATCTATGGAAAACAAATTCGACACGGAAAGGGGAGTAGGGAGGTAGTGAGGGGTCTGGGGAGGAAACGATAGAAATGGATAGAGGGAGTCCCATTTTGAAATAAAGTTAAGAAGGAGAAATCCTCAAAAAGGGAAAGGGAGTGAGGATGGGATCAAAAGGGAGAGATATAGGGAGAGATAGAGGGAGATAGAGGGAGAGGGAGAGAGAGGGAGAGAGAGAGAGAGAGAGAGAGAGAGAGAGAGAGTGAGAGAGAGTGAGTGTGTATGTGTGTGTGTGTGTGTGTGTGTGTGTGTGTGTGTGTGTGTGTGTGTGTGTGAGAGAGAGAGAGATAGAGATAGAGAGGGAGAGAGATGGGGGAGGTGGTATGTGTATGTGTGTGTGTGTGTGTGTGGGGTGGGCCAGAAACAGATGTAGAACAAGACAGTATGAGCAGAGATCTGTCAAGAAACCACGTAAAGCTATCACCCTAATCATTATTATCATGAGAAAAAAGCAAAAAGTGTGAAGTAACGACTGTGCAAATATACGAAAGAAAAACTTATTACGAATGGCAAACGAACATTTTTTTTTTGGGGGGGGGGGGGCGGGGTACTTTGAATTGAAACATCTTGATCGCTAAACATTCACCAAAGCATGGTTGAATTTCAAAGCATAACCCTATAACACTTTAACTCACTCATGCCTAGACTAGAATAGTGATATCATTATAATTTGGTATTTTTATCTCTTAAACATTTTAAACAAAATTGACATGGATTAGTATATATATAATCACTAGGAACGTATAATGTAATATATAAAAAGGGAATTAAATAATAAAACACACATTTATTACTGCGCAACATGTATAATTTATATCTAGAGTACAATCATTAACAAGTACAAATGTAAAATACAGTATTGAATCCTTAACTCTGTATAATAAATTATTGGATATTGTTGTGAGGGAAAATGAATATACAGGCCTTAAAACACGATACGATGCTCTAACACAATAATTATATCGTTGTATTGAAGAAAATACAGGTCTTAAAACACGATACGAGGCTCTAACACAATAATCATATCGTTGTATTGAAGAAAATACAGGTCTTAAAACACGATACAAGGCTCTAGCAAATTGTTATATCGTTGTACTGAAGAAAATACAGGTCTTAAAACACGATACGAGGCTCTAGCAAATTGTTATATCGTTGTATTGAAGAAAATACAGGTCTTAAAACACGATACGAGGCTCTAGCAAATTGTTATATCGTTGTATTGAAGAAAATACAGGTCTTAAAACACGATACGAGGCTCTAACACAATAATCATATCGTTGTATTGAAGAAAATACAGGTCTTAAAACACGATACAAGGCTCTAGCAAATTGTTATATCGTTGTACTGAAGAAAATACAGGTCTTAAAACACGATACGAGGCTCTAACACAATAATTATATCGTTGTATTGAAGAAAATACAGGTCTTAAAACACGATACGAGGCTCTAACACAATAATCATATCGTTGTATTGAAGAAAATACAGGTCTTAAAACACGATACAAGGCTCTAGCAAATTGTTATATCGTTGTACTGAAGAAAATACAGGTCTTAAAACACGATACGAGGCTCTAACACAATAATTATATCGTTGTACTGAAGAAAATACAGGTCTTAAAACACGATACGAGGCTCTAGCAAATTGTTATATCGTTGTATTGAAGAAAATACAGGTCTTAAAACACGATACGAGGCTCTAAACAAATGAGAGAAATGATGTGTGTCTTCCAGAAGGCGTGCACAGAGACAGAGAAACACCACACCAGCCTCGCAAA